CACACACACACACACACACACACACACACACACACACACTATCAATTCAATCCATACCTCATCCAGAGTATATCATCATTAGCCAAGCTCTGCCACACACAGGCAGCCAGACAGAGGTCCGTAGCATTCAGATGAGACAGGACGGAGAGGCTGATTTCTGGGGGGAGTAAATTCAAGTCCGGGAATGACAACAGAGCATTCGAGTTCTTCTTTCTGTGTGAGCCATCACCATCACCTTCAGCCTGATGTTCTTCATGGAGTTTTCGGAGAAATTGGCCCATAGCTTTTTATGTTCTTTACATCCGGGTTTGGGTGCTTTTTGTCCAAGGATTGCTGACTGGTTTGGAAGTTACTGTGTACATGTGTTGTTTCTTTGAGTTAATACTTCATGGAAACTTGAAAATAAAATTATAAAAGTGCTTTCATAAATGCCTTATATGTACATTCACACATTTGCATAATATTCTAAAGTTCTGAATACATTTTCCAGAAGTTAATATAATTGTACTGGCGGAATAATGGCACTGTATCAGTCATGCATCAAATATTATTGCATCATTTGTCAAATTTATCAAATTGGACAGACTGACAAACAGGTCAATTTTATGTCCAGCAATTTGAAGAAGGAGCAGCTGTAGAAATTATTTTTCATTTTTTTCTCCTTTGGCTGACCAAGAGATAAATTTGGCTTATCCTTTGGCATGTGTATATTATTGGATTTGTATAGGAAAACTGGTACTTGTGATTTGTACGTATAGCAGGGAATCTACACTCACTTAATTCATATGTTACTTTTCCTGAGGCATGAAACGTCTTAAACCTTCTAATATCTACTGGTACTTCCTGGGTGAAGATGGAGAAATGCACTGGCAATTTTGCAAATTGTTAATGGACTATCTATGGTGCAAATTAAGAATGGAGATTATTTTGATCAAATTGTACAAATTTGCTGGTTCATACATCTATTCATTAATTCACCGACAGAGACTGACCCACTTTTAAACGCCCTTGCCCCGATTCGCGAAGTTTGCAGAACTTCAGTCCAGGCTGGGGGAAAAGTGGGTCATGTTTTGATATATTAAAATACTTAAAATCACCTACCTGCATAAAAAACAGAAGTAAACAGCGTCGTCCCACCTTAAAGGATGGCTAAGCAGCCCGTGTCATCGCCTCATGTTGGAAGTAAATCCCTGTGATGCCTACATACAGTAAATAAACTGAGTCCTGAGTGCCCTGGTTGGAATTCCAGTGTTGGCCAAAATGACGTGGAACCGGAGCAAACACAAAGACCCACATCTGATTGGATGAAATGATAATTTGTGCGGGCCTACGATTCATCATAAAGCGGAAAATGTGAACAGTTGTCAGTCCTCAGTTTTAATTGAAAAGGTAAGCAACAGCAGACGGTTCCCGTTTGAATGACTTTGAAAAAAGGAAATTTGACTTTTTTTTAAAGCGGAATAGGTTTATAAGAGATATGCCAAAACACTTTTACGTTTTGACACTGATAAAATTTTCTAAATGTGTTATCTGGTTAAAACTCTTGTGTTTTTTTCTACCCTACGCTCAGATCTTGTGTACTAGTTCTGTCTCAAAATTGTAATGTTTAGGACAAGAGCTGGATACCCTAAGGTAATCTAGTTCGGGATTCGGTAGTGATTCTGTCACCAGAAGTGCTCTTCAAAGCTGTGCATCAAAAACTGTACAAGTGCAAGGTAAAATTAATTTAAATTTGTGGCTATTTATGTATATTTTATGACAGAAGTTTGCTCTGCTCATCATCATGGCACATCACAACTTGATTCTAGATAATTCTTCAGTCCTTTTGTTTCCTAGATGACTACTGGAGATATTAAGAATAATCTAAAGAAGCTGCAGAAGGAGGTACAGCTCATTAAATATGGGGAAGAGCTGGATCTGCAAGGGTAGGTTCAGGTGTTATAAAGCAGAGAGCCTTTTGTGATCTCAAGCCAACTGTGATTTAATGACACTTATGTAAAAAAGTGGTCACCAGCACTGTGATGCCAAATGCAAAGTACTGGTTTTGAATTGGGAATCTGCAGCTTTTCCTTAATGTCTGTACGTGATGGTGTTATCAATTTTTGTCTTATTATTATTATTATTGCTGTGATAATGGACACAAAATCAATATCTGTATATGATGTTGATATTTTAGGCTTTCTCAGGGCAAGTCCTCTGCATTCCTTCCTCTGTACCACTATGCCTTTGTGACATATAGCTGCTACATTGCCAAGGCTATTACAGACATTAACATAGAGTTGTATGGAAAAACAGATCTGAGGTTCATGGAAGGAGTGTATAAGGTATTGTGAATGTTACTATCTCTGATCTATGTTTAGAAATCATTTTTCAGTGAATGTGCTTTCTGATTTTTCCTTTATTTGATATAATAGCACAAACCTGCATTTGGTATGAACACGTCACTTGGACAATTCTTACTTCCGTTTTCTTTCATATGGGCATCAGCTTTTCTTATAATGATGTTGCTGATAGTTTGATCATTGTCTAAATACTTACGTCTCTGAATTTTTATGATGGGCAGGTGCTCCGGGAGATGTTCAACTATAAGCCTCCTGTCACTAAAGAGCAGTTCTTCTCCACGGGGTTCGCAGAGAGGAAGGTGATAATGTGCACAGAAATCCTCAACATGATCAAGGCAAAGCACAGACGTTTAGCTCCCAAACCCAAGTCCAGAGGCAACTCCACCCTAACTTCCCTACACAGGTCCTCCTCAGTACCAGCCATTGATACACAGAAGTTGACTGGTATGCTGGGGTTTACAGTGGGAAGAATATGGTGGTGGA